ATTTAAGAGGTATATGGGGATAGTGCTTTAAGGCTTTTCTGGGTGGTATAAAGTGGTCAGGTAATAGTTTGTTTTCGAAAGACAAATATATATATACTTCTGAATAGTCTTTTTTGATAGAGATAGTGAGAATATGAATATGTGAGCTTTCTAAATTATATTCAAAAAGATGAAGATGTCTTAAAAATAAAAAGATAGTTTGTAGTTTGGGTAGTATTAGCAAGTGATAATATCTAAGAAATTTGTTGTAGTATGCATATGATAAATATTAAGAGTTCTGGAGTCAGGGTCAGTAGAAAGTTCAGAGTTAGAATATAGTAACCTAATTGAAAGTCTTGTAAAGCATAGTAGTATAGATTATATATATGTTTATTGTTAGTTATATTAAGAGTTTCTGATGGGATTAAGCTAGTATTAAAAATAGAAGAGATAGAAATAAAAGAAAAATATTTGTAGCTTTCAATTGGTAGTCTAAAGTAACTATGATATATGTATCTGTACTCATAAGAAAGAAAGATATATACTATGCAGAGTCTTCTTTGATTAGAATAAAAAAGATAAAGTTATATATATTATTTAAATTAAAGTCAAATAATTTGATGTGTCTAATAAAAGAATCTATGGTTTGAGGATATGAAAGTAAAAGAAGATTAAAGTATTGTAAGATTCTGTTATAAGATGCTTTAGGGTTATAAAAAATAATATGAGATAAATTGTAATTAGAGACATCTAGATTATTTGTATATTGGGCTAGCTCATCATAAAAGATTAAAGATATTAATAATTACTTGCTATAATTGTTATTGTCTTCTACTAAGTTAGTTACTATATATCTGGCTCTCACAGTTTTCAGACAGCCTGTAGTCTGCTCTGTATATTGAGTCTAAATATCATTTTTTTAGGCTTCTAGATAAATAGGCTTACCCGTCTGCCTACTTATATTATTTTTCTTACTAACTACAATGGATATATCTTTTTGTAAAGTAGCAGCTGCATTTATGAGTATAGAAGACAGATTTATTAAAAAAAGTCTCTTTAAGAAAAAGAGACTTACTAATAAGTATTAGAATTTGGAAAGTAATGTTGAATTTTTCACTAAGATATTTTTTAGCTTTTGAATAGATAATTTTCTAATAAAATCTAACAAGCTGAGGGTAAGTAAGGTATTGATCATAGGTATCATATTGTGTTATAATTTTTGCAAGGGAGTTAGTGCTAATAAGTTATTGAATTAGAGTTTCAATAGCTTTTTTTTATCAAGATCTGCAATATTGAGATTTAATATATATTTTTTTAATATGTATCTAAGTAAAAGTAAAAAAATACTACATCTACCTTTGTTAGTCTCAATAGAGTTGAGTTCACAGTGAGCTTTTTCTGCTGTAGATACAAGTTTATATAATGTTTTAGTTGAAATAGGCTTAAGGAATATAGCTTCATATTTATTGTCTTTAAAGAAGACAGATTCATCTATTTGAAGTTTTTTGGTTAGCCATTCATCAAAAGACTCATCAAAGTAGTCTTTGTATAGCTGGCTGAAATTGTGCTAAAATTTTATTTTCTGGAAAGTCATCTTTTGTACTTTGGGTTTCGTAATAGTGCTTTGCCTTTGTCTTTGTATTCAATTTTTTCTAAATATTTACACAAATATCTGTGCAAGTAAGAATATGATAGTTAGAGTATTTGATACACTTATCTTGATGTTCTTGAAATGAAGAGGGTTCTATAAATTCAATGGTATCTGGGATAAATTTCTTAAGATATAAAATAAAATGTTGTCTAAACTGATATTTAAGAGAGTTACAGACTTTTGTTTCATCAATAGGATTATTAAATTGTTATTTGCATTTAGTAAAAAAATGTCCAAACTATTCTTCAAAGTGTTTGAAAGAGTTTTTTAAAGATAGTATATTAAATTTTTTTAAGAAGAGAGTTTTGAGAAAGTTGAAGTTAAGTTGAATATTAAATTTACTATTTGTAAATATATTAAGATATTTGTCTTCTTTGTCAATACTAATAATGTATAATATAATTTTAAAGTATTTAGGTTGTAAGCATATATCTTTTGCAAACTTGGTATAATTTATAGTTTGATAGTTGTTAGAAAGATATAGGTATATATAAGCAAGAAAATACAAAATTATAAATAGTTTTGTGTCTTGTAAGGTGAAACTGTAACTAGTAAGACAAAGATTTTAGGGTAATTGAGTTTAGTAAAAAAGACAGTTGTGAAAGCAAGAATGAGTTTTTTGAGTATTTTTTCCAAAACTGGAAATGGGATAGTAAATGCTTTGTCGATATCAAAATTGAGTTCATATATAAAATTTACCAGGAACTGAAGTCTTTCTCTTGCCATTTTACAGATAATTTGATAAAAGCTTGCTTTAAGTGCTTTCTGGTTTTCTACAGCTTTTTTAATTATTTTGTCAGGGTAGAAGTCAAATAGATGTAATTTGAGAAACTTAAAGGTTTGGTGAGCAAGTTCAGTTTGAAGTTTATCATACTTTTCTATCTTTGGTAAGACTGGGTAATTGGCTAACCAATCAAATTGTGATTGTTGTAGTATATTGTCTACTGTATTAGACAAGTATTTTTTAATAGTATTTGTTGTATTTGCTGTTGGTATGTAAGAGTTTCTTGGTTTTGTAGTACTATAATAGTGTTGGTAGTAGTAGTATTAGAGGTGTATCAGATTGTTTTTGATGGGCCTCATGATGTATAAGAGTAATGATAAGTTTGAACTTAGTAATTAGTTGTTGTTGCTATATTACTAGTTGTTGGGGTTGTTATACTGAAGGTGTTTTGAACTAAGTTATTTTTGTTTGTTTGGGGTTTATAGTTAGGTAATGTGAGTGGTGGTAATTGTTGAGATAGCTGTTGTTCTTGAGAGATTGGAAAGTTACTGATAAAGAAGTTATCAATATTCATTTCTGAGGTTTTTTTTAATAGAGTCAATGGTACAAGTTCAGAGGCCAGAAGGTTATAAGCACAAAAATCATAAAGAGATCATTTGAGTTAAGAAAGGAATTCAGTACCTTTAAAGAATCCAAATATAGATTTGTAAAGTTTTGATACAGGATCTGTAGTATGATAACTTGTTATATATAGTAGTGTCACTTGCTAACTGATATTTGTTGTTGAAGGTTTTGCAAGCAATAGGTTGTTTGCAATGTGGACAAATATGTTGATGTGGAGTGGGAGATAGTGAAGCAGATAATGAGGCAAAAACATATTCAGTAGTTTCTGCAATCTTGTGAGCCATTTTTTTTTTCTTTTTTGCTAACAATTTGAATATTAGTAGATTTTTTGTAGTTTGTATTCTCATTAGAACCAAATTAGGTGTGATATTTGCCACATAGGCATTTGACAATAGATAAGATAGCTGAGGCTTCAAAATAGTAACATGACTTGGTTATATTTTTAAGTTTTGTAGAAATGCATTCGACTAGTTTTTGGTTTATTGTAATAGGTCTAGATATATTTGGAGAATCTTTATAAATTCTAATACCAAAGCTATTGTGATGTTTTTATAAAAATAGTCAAGATCTATAGTATATAGTTCTGTGGTATATAGGATAGGCATTGTATCTACAAATTTGTTTAGTAATACTAATTCAGAAGTCTTAGTAAAATTTTTAGTAAATGAGATTCAAAAATAAAATGATATAGAATACTTATGATTAGGATAGCAGATTAGAGCTAGGGTTCTGAGGTTATGCTGTGACAACTATGGCTAGTATGGCTTGTATAGCTTGTATAATCTAATATATAATTTTAAAGTATATTTAGTATGGCTAGTATGGCTAGTGTGGCTTGGTATAACAATTTGGGCTATATACAGCTGTATAGGCTAAAGTTTACTTAATAATATCAAATTTGTAAAGGCTTTTTTATACAAAGGCTGTGTACAAAACAATAGCTACAGTAGGCTATGTTGTTGGCTATGTAAGGGCAATATGCAGAGCAATAGCTGCAGTAAACTATACTGTTGGCTATGTAAGGGCTATGTATAGCTATGTTAATTAAAGTTTGCTTAATAGTGCCAAATTTGTAAAGGCTTTTTTGTATAAAAGCTATATACAAAACAATGGTTGCAGTAAGCTGAGTTGTTGGCTATATAACAGGAGGGTCTGGCTAGATGTGGTAGATAATCTAATATTACACAAAAAATGTCTAGAGTGAAAGGTAGCAATAGAAAAAACAAAGAAAAAGTAAAAAAAGCTAGAGAAGTTAAAATTGTTTTAAGTGATATTTTAATTAATATTAGGCTTGTAGTCTTCTTTTAGAACTTTCTTAATAGCTCAAGAAAGGTTGTGAAAAAAGTTTTCAAGAAATTAAAAGAAGAATCAATTTAAAGACCAAAGGCTGTTAAAGTAGTTTTATATCATGAGTTTGAAAGCTAAGGGCTTAAAACTTTTAAAATATATGTAAAATCTTCTTGTAAATAAGTTTACTTAAAGTGTTAGAAGTAGTTTTCTTAGCAAAAACTTGAGATAATGCTTAATTATTATAGGTAAAATTTTTGTTTATTTTGGATACAAATGATCTATAGAAAGAATTTTTTGAAATATCCTATATTTGTTATATATTAATAATATATTAATTATATATCTATCATATTTTATACTAATAATATAATTATCATATAATAATTATAGGAAATTGATATTTCTACACCCTTTTTTGATATTGCCACATCTCTATTAATTCTAAATCCTAACCAAACCCTAATAATTTATATTGATTTTTATTAACAAGAATGTGGCAATATTAAAAAAGGGTATGAAAATATCAATTTTCTAATTATATAACTATTATATAATAAGAAAATATTTTCTACACATTTGCATAGTCGGCACCTCTATTTGATCAGCCAATAAAATTAGTGATCATATATTTTATAATTATTGTTTTTTTCACCGATTGCTTTTTGCCACCACTTTTCTTTTGTTGCCTTCACTATTTTTGGTTTATTGCTTTCACTTTTGCTGTTTTTGCTTTCACTTTGCTTTTGCTGCTTTTGCTTTTGTTGTTTTCACCTTGTAGCTTTTGACATGCTGCTTTTTCTTTTGTGTTTTCACCTTACTACTTTCTCTTCTGTTGCTTTTGCCTTGCTGCTTTCTTTTTGGCTGCTTTAGTCTTGCTGTTTTCTCTTTTGCTACTTTGCTTTTACTGCTTTCGCTTATTATTTCTTCACTTCTTTTTTTTATACTTTTTTAATATTTTACTTTCTTTTTTTTTCGCTTTCTTTTTTCATTTCATTTTCATTATTTTTTTTTGTTTCTTTTCTCTTTTCTTTTTGTTTTCTTTTTGTTTTTTTTTAGCTTTTTTTGTCTTTTCGATTTTTTTTATTTCATTATTTTTCACTTCTTTTTTTTGTTTTTGTTTTTTTTTTAATTTTACTCTCTTTTATTCTTTTTCTCTTCTTTCTTTTTACTTTTACCTTTTTTTCTTTTCGTTGTTTTTCCCTTCTCTCCCTCTTCTTTCTTTTCACTCTTAGTTTTTTTTCTTTTCATTGTTTAGATTTTTTTCTTTTCATTTTTTCTTTTTACTTTTCTAGTTATTTTTTTTTTCTTGTTTCTTTTTTTTATTTTTTTTCATCTTGCCTGTCTCTTTTCTTTTCATTTCTTATTTTCTTTCTTTTGTTTTCTCTTTTCTTTTTTTTTATTTTCCCCTTCTTCCTCTTTTTTCTTTTTGCTTTTACTATTTTTTTCTTTTTGTTGTTTTATTCTTTCTCTTTTTACTTTTTTCAGTTATTTTTTTTGTTTCTTTTTCTAGTTTCTTTTTTTTTTACTTTATGCTTTTTTTTTCCTCTTTCTTTCTTTTAGTTTCTTATTTTCTTTCTTTTATTTTTTCTTTTTCTCTTTTTTCGGGGTTTTTTTCTTTTTTTGATTCCCTTCTCTTTTTTTTGGTTTCCCTTTTTGCTTTTTTTCTTTTCATTTTTCTTTTTTGCTTTCCTTTTTTTCTCTTTGTTTTCTCTTTTCATTTTCTCCTTTTTTTTCACTTCTCTCTTCTTTCTTTTTGTATATTTTATTTTTTATTCTCATTTTCTTTATGTTCTATTTTTTTTTATTTAGCTAACATATTTTATTCTTTCTTTCAGGTCTAATTTAATTGTTCTTGTTAT